TCTACTATCAACATGTCGTCCCCTCTTCTTCATCGTCCTTCTACATCAACATGTGTCCCCTCTTCTTCCTGTCTCTTCTACATCAACATGTGTCCCCTCTTCTTCATGTCTCTTCTACATCAACATGTGTCCCCTCTTCTTCATGTCTCTTCTACATAATATCCTTGACTGCTGGATGGAAGTGTTTCATTACCACACGAGTGTAATGTTCAGGTGTTAACCAACCTAAGTGGATGTGCCTATACTTACAGGCCCTTAGTATACATGATGCCTCCTGATTACAAAAAAAATAAATAAGAAAATGACTTTGCCTTAATTTACATTATGCTTATTATATACTCATATTCAAAAAAAGGTTTCAACTGGCGCTGAAACCACAGAGTCTGACCCCAGCCTCCGAAACACTCTGCACAGGAAGAGGAAGTTCTCACTCACATTATATTTCTGTGTCTCACAGTAAGACGCTCAGACAGCAGGAAGACATCATGGAGGTCACAGCGCTCTGCAGCCGACTGCGTGAGTCTCAGATTATTATTTTAACTTTTTTTATTTTTCACAAATACAAAGTATTTTTGTTAATAAAACGTTTTTTCTCTATCTGCATACCTAGTGACGTGTGTGATCATACTGCTGGGTGCACATATTCAGAAGAGCTCTTTGCAAAACAATGGTGGGTAGAAACTACTAAAGAGTCACATGCTCATGTTAATAGGAATACCAGTGTGTCCGTGCATTGTGTTAAAATAGAGCAATTATCCATTTTGCTTTATTCTTTATTCATCAGATGTTTTTATTGTGTCTCTGTTTCTGTCCTCAGACGCAGCTTTGCACATCGTCACAGAGAGACTGCAGCTCTTTGAATACACACCCTTCTCTTTTCTCTGCGAGGGTCTTGGCTCTGCTCTGAGGGGGTTTCGGAACAACAATGAGTTAATTCAGGGTTGTTATAATATTGATTCATCAACACTGAACTGCACCATTCAACAGGCCTATGATTCAGACAGCGGGGTTTACTGGTGTGAGGATGAGAAAGGAGAGAAGAGCAACTCATCAAGATCACCGTCACCGGTATGTTTTGTTGATTCCGATACACCGTACATCGTTTTTCACAGTAATTTGTCAAATAGCTTTTTTTGTATACTTTTATATCGTGTTCTTAATCATATTATTTTAAAAAATCTACTTTATTCTTTTTCACTTATTTAGCAATAATAAAGCAGTTTCCTAATATTGGAAAACCTACTTGGCAATAAACGTGATTCCAAAAAAGTTTTTTAGAAAAGTTTGTTGGTCGACTGACATTATCTGATTAAAGTAAAAAACCTGAATATTGTAAAGAAAAACTGAATTTAATAAATGCAATGAAAAGGAAAACCCCAAAACAGTACGAATGCTTAGCATTGTCGATAAGCATTTTCTAAAACGTGATTTGGGTCGCAACGTGTACAAATAAATAATAATAATAATTATTAATTATTACTTATTAATAATAAAATAAATTTGAGTTTAAAAAAATCTTGTCTATGATGATATTTTAAGAATTGTCTAAAAATATAATAAAAAATTACAGGAATGACAAACAACCGTCAACGCTGCCACAGGAACAAAAGAAACATGTCATAATATTAACCTCTATGCAGACGATACTATACATTACTGAATAATTGTTATCAATGTTTTCCGATTACTTTTCGATATTTTGTATTCATTCTGTGCATGTTAGCAACCAACTTAACATTCACAGTATTCTCCAATGCTTGTTTCTATATAATGTTCAATTTTTGTCAATAACTCCAAATGTGTTCATTAGACTAAACGCTTCATCCCCATGTTGTTCAGGAGGCTCTGTGATCCTGGAGAGTCCTGTGCTTCCTGTGATGGAGGGAGAATCTGTTACTCTGAGCTGCAGGAAAAAGAAGACCACTTCCTCCATCCTCTCAGCTGACTTCTATAAAGATGGCCGCCTCATCAGGAGCAGCTCTACAGGAATCATAACATTCGAAAATCTTTCTAAATCTGATGAAGGACTCTACAAGTGCAGCATCTCCGACGGTGGAGAATCACCAGAGAGCTGGTTTGCTGTCATAAGTAAGATACAAAAAGTACAAAAGATGAGATTTACTTTGATTTTACATGATACCGGCTGACATTACAACCTCATGAAATGTTCTGCTATTTGGGCTAACCTCACACAGCTCGAAGTCAAATTTAAATTTTATTAATAACATTGACATTTATTGAATAACCCCCATAGGGAAAGTGAGGTCTGAGAGCAACAACAGCAATAAGAGTGAAACACAGGATAGGACAGGTAAGAGTTCATGGACGCATCTTTTTAATAAGAATAACAAATATAACATTGAAATATATACACATAAGTGATTTTAATGAATCTGAATTAATATAACATGCGCCGCACATCTTTCAAAGTTTTACGATGTGCAGTAATTTGTTTCCATATTCTGTAAGGAATTAATCAAAGGTGGAAAAAGTACTCAGATATTTTTCTTATCTTATACCGCTCTGTAAAAATACTCTGTTCAAGTAAAAGCCCTGTATTTTTTAATACATGAGTATAAACAGCAGAATCTAGTACGTATTTAAGTAAAGATACTTGTTAGGTCTCAGTTTTTCTATAATAAATATATTATTGGCAAACAACTACCGATACCTATTTTAACTACTTTTTTACTGAGGAGTAATTTAACCTTTAGCGGTGTTATGTTTTATCAATGTATAACGTGTAAATTAACTCCAGTTTTCAAACAAATGCAGCAAAAATTACAATATTTCCATCTAAATTGTAGTAGGAGTATAAAGTAGCTTAAATTGTACTTTTGATCAGTACTTGAGTACATTTACTCACCACTGAAACTAAGTTGTGAGGAAATGTTAAAGGTCTATAATTTTTAAATAAGATGATGTATAAGATGATGTAAATGGTAACATGCTAACTTTGTGTTTTGTGTATTACAGGAAGTGGAGACCTACTTAATGAAGAAATGCGTTCTTTCCTCCATGCCTCCGTCCTGCTGTGGGCCACTATCATTATTTCCATTTTGGTTTTGACGCTGCTGGTGCTGGGAGTCCATCATATTAAACACAGAGGTATGACAAAGTAACTGAACACATTGTGTATTTATATACATGCAAATCCACTTATAATAGCTTACTTACTTCGAAATGCAAGGAGTGTCCTCACTTTTAATGTTAAGGAGCATTAAAGTGAGAACTTCTTGAAAACAAAACATCTATACAGAGATTTTACTTATAATGACAAATTAACAAAATCGTTAATTAATTATAAATATTATTTAATATCATAATAAACAATTTTTCACAAATAACCTTTGAGAATGAATGTAAGTACTTTTTCTTATTCTTTTGTATTTTAATACACATATACTCAAATTAAATTAGAAAAATAAATGTTTATGTGTATGTATAATATATACAAATCAAGAAATATATACAGTTCTGTTTTCTGTCTGTTTGACAATATTGTACTAACATGCATGAATAAGTAATAGTAATTGTTTACAAATATTCCAAACTTTTTTTATAAACTTTAAATGCATCATTCAAAACTGATCGCCAGAGAGTTAGGACTAAAATGTGACTGAATATATTTTGTAATGTGTTTCCAGTTACAGCCTGTGAAGAGGATGAGAGCGACGTCACGTACACTGTCGTCTTCACAAAACCAAGACTTCACCAAGGTTTAAGTTCACTTTAAAATCTCATTTATATTTTATTTTTTATGATGTGAGCAACAAACAAATACTATTATATTTACTCTGTTTCTTTATTATGAACAGCTTCAAACAACATACAGTATATACTGCTCACTCTGAGAGACAAAGGTTTACTTTGAGTGGTACTTAAAGATCGTTGTCACGTGTTGAAAGTGACAGTTGAGACGTGCAGAGGTGTAAATTATTTTAGCTCTCTCACGCTCAGACGCTGCTGATAATCCGAGCCTCAGCATCGAGACGGACCACAGCCAAAACCCACAAACTGAAGCAGGTGAGGGGGACTTTAAAAATAATTATTAGTCAACATATATATTTATAATGTGTTTCTAAGTTCATCTCTTTCTCACTGACATTCTGTCCCTGCAGATGAACCTTCATTTGAAGCACTTTACTCTGCGTTGGTTATAAATGAGACTCCACAAACTCACGGTTCGTATTTGATCCACACACAAATAATTCACACCACCAAAATCCTTATCAGATATCTGTAGCTTTCCATTTAAAATATGATATCTGAACAGTAGAAGTTATTTTGACCCATTAAAGTAGTGAAAATAATAATCTTTATTTTTTTACCACCTTACAAATATATTTTGATATCATGTACAGTTATGAATGACTACATAAACTCTTGTAAATGTAAGGAATTGGGGCCAAATTTTAATAGTTTTTGCAAAATATCTGAATTATTCTGAGAGAAAAGTCAGAATTGTCAAGCCAAGTGTATTTAGCACCTTTTGACACAAGGCATTCTAAGAGACAAATGAAAAACCTTAAAAGTTATATAAGTCAAAATATGACTTTTCCCACAAATTCATTTTTTTTCGGGTACTTTGAATTTTCTCAGATTGTTGCATTTTTCTGAATTATTTTTAGGTTATGGTTTAATGGTTTTAAGTGCTGGACAGAAAAAATAGAAAATACTGACATTTAAATTTTTTACAGCGATAATCTAAAATGTTAAAGGTCACCTATTATGCAAAATCCACTCCTTCATGTCTCTTCTACATCAACATGTGTCCACTCTTCTCCATGTCTCTTCTACATCAACATGTGTCCCCTCTTCTTCACGTCTCTTCTACATCAACATGTGTCCCCTCTTCTTCATGTCTCTTCTACATCAACATGTGTCCCCTCTTCTTCATGTCTCTTCTACATCAACATGTGTCCCCTCTTCTTCATGTCTCTTCTACATCAACATGTGTCCCCTCTTCTTCATGTCTCTTCTACATCAACATGTGTCCCCTCTTCTTCATGTCTCTTCTACATCAACATGTGTCCCCTCTTCCTAATGTCTCTTCTACATCAACATGTGTCCCATCTTCTTCACATCTCTTCTACATCAACATGTGTCCCCTCTTCTTCACATCTCTTCTACATCAACATGTGTCCCCTCTTCTTCACATCTCTTCTACATCAACATGTGTCCCCTCTTCTTCATGTCTCTTCTACATCAACATGTGTCCCCTCTTCTTCATGTCTCTTCTACATCAACATGTGTCCCCTCTTCTTCACGTCTCTTCTACATCAACATGTGTCCCCTCTTCTTCATGTCTCTTCTACATCAACATGTGTCCCCTCTTCTTCATGTCTCTTCTTCATCAACATGTGTCCCCTCTTCTTCATGTCTCTTCTTCAACAACATGTGTCCCCTCTTCCTTACATGTCTCTTCTACATCAACATGTGTCCCCTCTTCTTCATGTCTCTTCTTCATCAACATGTGTCCCCTCTTCTTCATGTCTCTTCTACATCAACATGTGTCCCCTCTTCTTCATGTCTCTTCTACATCAACACGTGTCCCCCTCTTCTTCATGTCTCTTCTACATCAACATGTGTCCCCTCTTCTTCATGTCTCTTCTACATCAACATGTGTCCCCTCTTCTTCATGTCTCTTCTACATCAACATGTGTCCCCTCTTCTTCATGTCTCT